TTAATTATTTCAGATTAGCCAAATGAATGCAAGACAATTTAACTAATTTAGATTTGTACCTAGAAGTCAACCCCAAGTCCCTGCATTTATCTTCCTTTGGATAATTATTTCAACTATATTCTGTATACTTCTGTTTTTAATAGTTCATAGTTTTACTTTTTTAAATCAGCATGTTCAACTGTGGCACGCAATACTGATATTTCATGAATAATTTATACCAACACTTTCCCATCTCAATTTGAAAGACACTTTTCAAATTCCTTTTTTATTTCTCTTATTTCAATGTATCCATATGTAATGTATATGTATTGGGCATTGTTGCCTCTATTAGATAGGACAGTTCAATAGTAGACTGTAAACATGAGAAGAGGTTTACCATGAATGTTTATTTATTACAGAACCCAAAGTTATAACATTTAAAAAATCCTTACATATTACTTTTTTTCCTCTACTTGATTAATAACTTAAATGATGACTCCATTGTTGCAGTTATCGATTTGTTTTCTCTTGATCCACTAATTGGATATTTGGCTAATCTTTTAACTATTATTAAAACATAGCCTCAATTAGTCAGAATGCAATGCAGTCGGTAGCCTTGAGATTGTAACATTAAAATAAAGAAATGATGACATTATATGTTATGTCACATAACAGGCTGGATAAGGGTTAAAAAAATGAATCTGTGTGATCCTTTCTGACCTCCTCAGGAACAGAAATCAGGGCGTGCCGACATCTGAGCGGGAGGAGGAGGCTCAGAGACTGAAGAGGGCCGCCTGGAGAGCAGCTTCCAAACGCTACTATGCCCGAAAAGTAGCCCGCCAGCAGGCAAACCCCTCACGCTCGGGCCCCTTCCCCCCACGGCCCAACTTCCTCCCTTCACGGTCAGCCCCTTTCCCCCAAAGGTCTGGCCCCTTCGCCCACATTACCGATAACCGGTTTTCCCAGCCGATCTCTTTTGTCGATGAGGGAAGGAAGTCGCAGACTGAAGAGTCTCAGGCGCTGCAGAGGGAGGCGTGGAGCGCCGCGTCCAGGAGGTACTATGCCCGAAAAAATGCTGACCACCAGACGGAGCCCACACAGTACCCTCACCTCCAGAACATGGAGCCGTCCAGAGAAACACTGGGAACCAGCAGGGGAGAGTCCCACTCTAACAGTGGAGGTATCATGTGCAGCTGAGAGACAGTGAAGCTGTTGATACCTTTTCTATGATCTAAATATTGATATTGTAAATTAAAAATACTATTTTTGACGGTTTGTACTGATGTTGATATTGGTCTCAGGTCTTCTGATATGATTCAAATAGTATGCACCCTAATGTTTGAAATCATTAATTTGTGTTTTTCTTCATAGTTGAATTCTGCCACTCACCCTAAAATCAACAGTGCATTTATGTCACTTTGATTCAAATTGATCACCCTTTTATTATTTTCTTCATTATAACATGCTTTAGTATGCTGCATTGCATGCCTGTGGGAAAGTATGACTGCAAGTGATTAAATGAATATATTCTGGGGCGATGTAAAGCTTTTTATAAGTAGTACTCATGTAACAGCATCTGCATTAATATAGCGCCCCTGGAGTCAAACATATGTAACTACAATGAAGGTAGTGCTCAAATTATGTGCAATGAAGGTAGTGCTCAAATTATGTGCTTAACATTTCTGTGTAAATAAAAAATAACAAATACTGGAAGACTAGTTTTTTTGCTACATGTTAAATGACAAAGATAATTTAAATGCAATTGTTCGATAGTCTTTTAATGGCATGCTGTACAATACTTTGACATTTCTAAAGACATTGAAAATTACTTTGTCTAATGAGGACATACTTCACTGGCTTTTTTAGGATGTTCGTAATAAATAAGTGAATTATCAGATAAAACGACCGATTATAGTGTCGAAAGAGAGGAAAGAAAGTAGTAGGCTACAGGATGTCATAGGATAGTGGCACAGAAATATGAGAAAATTATAAAAGGAAAGCATGTCAGAAAATGTGAGAAAAGTAATATAGCATATTGAATTAAGTTATAGATTAGTCAAAACATAATGAAAAGGCCAAAGTATAGTATGTCACAACTTAAAACAAAAACGTATATAGTATATGTGTCTAATAATTTAAACAAAAATAAATTATGGTATATGTAGAATAAATGACAAAAAAACATAGCTTAAATTGCCAGAAAAAAAGTCTTAGTATAGTATGTTGAAAAAATCTGAAAAAACGTATATGTGGAATATATATTTAAAAAGAAAAACATCATAGTAGCCTATGTAGATAATATCAGAAGAAATGTACTATACTTTTAACATATCATACCATTACTTTTTGTTACTATCATATGATTGAATACATACATTCTGAGGCCCTCTAAAACTAATGTACTAATGTAACAGCTTCTGTGGCAACATGGCCACTTCAGATAAAAAATAAGCAAAATGATCCCTGATTGAAGGGGACCTATCATCCAAAATGCACTTTTGTACGTCTTTTATACATGAATGTGTGTCCCCGGTGTTCCAGGGAACTCACCAAGTGTCAGAAAACACAACCCTCTCTATTTTCCTCCATACCCAAATCTCTTAAAAAGGGGCTGCAACGGATCTGATACAGACTGATCCAGACAAATCTGGATCAGTCTGTATCAGATCCGTTGCAGCCCCTTTTTAAGAGATTTGGGTATGGAGGAAAATAGAGAGGGTTGTGTTTTCTGACACTTGGTGAGTTCNACCAGTAGCTCGCGGAGGTTTTCCGAGTAGCTCACCAGAAGGCGCTAAAGTGCAGTTGACATGTTGAGACATATTTATTTATGTAGTATATTTTGAGAGTAAGAAAGATAGAGAAAAAGAGATGTAAGATGCAGTCATGACAACTGAGGAAGGTCCGTCAAAGAAGAAATCTAAAATATACTACTTTCATGACGAGTGGGAACATGAATTTTTATTTACGAGCATCAAAGACAAGTGTGTGTGTTTTAATTTGTGGCTCGAGTGTTGCGGTGGGGAAGAAGGGAAATGTCGAGCGGCACTTCACAAAACTTCACGAAAACTTTTCAAAGGAGTATCCCGCCGGCAGTTGCCTTCGCGTTGAGAAGGTACAACAATTAAAAGCTACGCTACAAAGGCAGCAGTCATTGTTCACGAAGCCTGCCAAGAAAGCTAGCCTAGCTACAGAAGGATCGTTCCGAGTCGCTCAGTATTTGGCAAAGAACAAAAAAGCTTTCACTGATGGCGGTGTTCTTAAGGGAGCGATGTCTGTTATGGCAGAGACTTTGTTCAGAGACCACAAGAGCAAGTCGGAGATAATGTCTGCCATTGACGATGTGCAACTGGGAAACAACACTGTGGCGAGGAGAGTGTCGGCGCTGTCAGTGGATGCCATGGGACAGTTGGAGCGGGACATGGTCAGGTGCAAGTGGTTCTCCATACAGTGCGACGAGTCGGTGGATGCGAGCGACACAGCTCAGCTGTCTGTGTTCATCCGGATGGTGTTTGAGGATTTTACGGCGAAAGAGGAATTTCTGACACTGCTTCCACTCAAAACACAACAAGAGGTGTGGACGTGTATAATTCTATTAAGAATTATTTCATAAATTTTGTTCACCGTAATACAATTGTTTGACATTAATTTTAGGACTTTTACCTTAATTATACACAACAATACTAGTCCTGACCATTTTACATCGAGTCACTTTACAATTACTATATATTAGGTTTAATAAAAAACTCATCAAAGAAATTGCTGCAACAACATGAAATTATGTGTCTTTTGCAGTAATTTCCTCTACTTTTACCAAAAAAAGTGTTGAGGGGAGGTTAGTAGCCCAGATAAAACTGGTTCATTTCTAGCAGTACTGTATTTCTAAAACCCGGTAGTTGATTAATGTCTACCGGGACTCGGGTAATCTCTAACGGGACTTTTTAAACACGCCTGCTTTTACGTGCTTCCCACCCCCGGGAGGGGGATTCTTTAATCTAAAAGTCCAGGAATTTACGCAGACCACGTAAGGATCTGGCTTCCCCAACGGTTGTGCAGCTACGCTCGTGGTAATCGAGCGCCTCCAAAAGGCTCATCGAGTGGTCTTTCGCGATTTCACGTCAACTTACACTCTTGTATAATAAATACATTATAACTCTCATTCTTTCTATCTTTTTTCTCTACTTCTAGTCAGTACTGTGACGTCCTTCCGGGCAGTTTCTTTTACGGTTTTATCATGATGAAAGTACTGTCACCTTGTATTAAAAAAAAATGCTCGTAGTTTCTGTTCACACACCAAAATTAAACACGAGGCTCACAACGCCACCCTTCTTCCCTTTACAGTCTCGCCGTGAAGTGTTTGAAGTGCTTTGAAAGTTTCCTCATAGAGCGGCCGTCAAAGAGAATTTCGCAAATCTTGACATGCTTGTTTATAGCATCGTTGCGGATCGTGTTTCATTGTCGTCAGTAACAGTTATCTTCGGACGGTAATCTTTCGAATCAGATGATGTCGTTCGTAGCATGGACTTAGCGTAAGAGAACGTTGCAATTGATTCACGAAATTGTCATCTACCACACCAGATTCCTCAGCTACAGACATCACCAAGTCTATGAAGACGACAAAGACATCAAGTGCTCTTGTTCAGAGACTCTAATAAGACGGTAACTACAAACACGTTGCCTTGTTTTCGCCACCGCTCCTTTCACGTGCGACGGTCTCTTTCTACAGCAGCAAATTGTACTCGGGCGTCCAGTCAACATTACTCTTGCCTTTACAGCTCGCCGTAAGTTTTGTCAAGTGCTCTGCAAAGCACTTCCTATGTCGACTGCCAGACAAGTACAACGGCCCAGTTGATAAGACTCATGGCCAGAGACATTATCCCCAGAGGTGGAAAAAGGTGCTTCGGCCGGTCGTTGGATCGATTTTCTTCACCGGCCTCAGCGAGTACAATAATTTCTTATATCGAAAGTGACTTATATCTACCACGAATTCCGCTTCGCTACATTGGAATTGACGTACTCTGAACCAAAGACTAGCTGTCTCGGTCTGTTTATTAGGGTGCGGTATGACTACACGACGAAATTGTAGTGACACCGCTGATGTCATCTTGCACAAAAGTGCTTAAGTTCCACGTTTGTCAAGCTCGTTGTAGCCATTATAGTAAAGGATGTCAGATAGGCTTAGCTACTAAAGTCGTATGTCGTCCAGACACAAGTGGTACATTTACCCTAAAACCGAACTCGTAAAGAGTGAGACGTAGGTGTTTCGTTGAAGAGAGTTCGATAAGTCTATAAAGCACCATTCGAACTGTGCATCTTCCAGATAGGGACTGAGCGATTGTAGACTACGTCGGACGCCAGATACTACGTAACGAGTGCTCGTGACAGAAATAGCGTGTACCCCACACCATAGGAATGTTTAAGCGAGACTAACTCAGTACTAGTCACAGGTCCTAGTCCAGTGAGAACTAGGACGACAAGACCTAAAGTTAGTACAGTACTGAAGGTATATTACTGACTAGAGGTGCGCTTCCATATAATGTGGTTTATTCGTCGAGGTGTCAAAGTCACTACGCGGCAGCAACTTACAAAAAACTTAGAGAATCCACTCACCAACACAGCTCTACTGGATATCACGAAGACAGATGAACGACTTACTCCGACTTACAGTAAGACCTCTAACCGATAAGGTCAGGTGAGACTTCCGACCAATTTACATGACTTCCCGGACCGGTAAACTGAGACTGTCAAGTCAATGAGTCGGATGCGTACACTTACCAACGTTCTCTGAACGGCAGTCGACCGAATGGACTGGAATGGAGTTAAGGACGGGGTACGAATAATCCGTCAGTGTCATGAAACTATTAATTCTTTCGTCGTCGTCGAATAAAGGACGTCATGAAAAACTGTCTCCTTTAATACGTTAATAAAGGAAAATGGACGACTCTATATCTGTGTCTAAACGGAAATTTTCGGAGAAATGTCGTGATAGTACAGTGTATGACAAAACGGGAACGGAACATCGACCTTCAATTCGACCAAATTAAAAGGACAGTCTAGTCAGTTTTCCGGTCCAGTTCATGGGTTGGTCGTAGTCTATTCTACTCCACAGGAGAGGAGGAAGAGAAGGAACTTCTGAAATGGAGTAAGTCGTTCCTCTCCTCGCGACATCTAAAAGGGGAAGATGAGTTTGTGGAGTGGAGTCGTACTTTTCCTCTAGAGGTATAAGTCGACTGTCAAGGAGTTCTTTTTAAACCTTCGAGGACACAACGAAACGGAAGCGAGCTATCTCAAATAATAAACCATAGTGTCCAAAGTACGCAGCTACCTTCAGAGTTGGCCGCAGGAAACACGTGTCTTCGAAGAAACACGAGCACCCTTACTACGCCCCTCTACCCATTGAGTCTTTTGCACCCCTTTATACCTAGACTGAACCTGTTTAAACCGGAAGGCTATTTGGCACACACCGCTGCCCGGAAGAAGTATCGGCCGAGCCCGAGGAGTCAACAATAAAAAAAACATATGTACGAAGAAGGTAACG